TCGTTGTTGTAGAGTTCATAATATATTAACCAGATGCACAATGTACAATAAGGAGCATGTTGCCATATAAGATGGCAGTAACGACATTTTTCCGTAAAAGTGTGTGGTTAGAAGGATAGCCGTCAATAAGTAACGTATAATAATTCATGCTTAAGAAGTATTGTTTACTGGGATAGACATTCAGTTTTCGCATGTATTGTGACCTCACGAAAATTATTTTCAAATAAAGCGCGACAATGTAAATGTCGTGAGGCTGAATGCACACCCTCTAAACCCGTCTTCGCTTCAAGACTTCCTGGTGTCCTCAGAGCTGGCTTCAACACGGGACAAATTAGCGTTGCTGGTGTAGTCACCGCGCTGCGAGAGATCGCACTGTGTGCCAGTGGTGGCGCCACCTGGCTGAAGGGTTGGGTGGACTCATTGAAAATGCGCTCGTTATTTTTACCGAAACACAGTAATAACAGCCAACGTCTGGAGCCAATTTTCACAGCCTGATGCTTGAGTTGATGGAAACATACCCTCAATGATGCCAATCACCAAGGCTGATAATAATAATAGAATTAACTCTTCAGCTCCGCCATCCTTCTCTTAAAAACTGAACAACGCAAGCAGTAGGAAGACATGACTGGCACGCTGCGCACGAATGCTTCCACGCTACCACCTCGTATGAGCGAAGGAATGCATCTACAAGGGTGAATTCATGTTCCTTTATCAGTAAGTACTCAAGAATATTGTCAGAATTCACACCTTATCTACACAGCCAGAGCTAACAATTGCTGATTCGCAGTTCTACGCCTAATGCTGAGCGCCAATGTAACCGTCCGTGTGCGTGTCTCCATAACAATGTCGTCGCCATCACGTGAATTTCGACTATTAGAGGTTTTTTATGCAAAGGAATGTAAAAAAAACAGTGTATGAAAATCTACGTCCAGAATAACTGATTATGACACAGCATCTTGCTACTGCTTATACTTAACGGAACCCTGCAACACTTTTTGAGCATGGTCAGGAAACGCTGCCGATCGGTATAGTAGAGGCTCCCGACAACACGCGAGTCAAATAATATAGCACAGCACGCGGCCTGGAATTCACATTGAATAATCAAAGTCAGCTAAAAATAGCTTACTCCTATCTCGACAACTCACAGAATAAGCTCAAAAATCGCTCGTAGTAAGCCCATCTACCAGCCATTGGCTGATTTGAACATGGCGCGCTCGGTTGTTACAGAGGTCACCACGAGAGCTTTCCGCTTTCCTTTCTTCACAATGACAATGAAACTACTTTTAAAAAAGTCTCCTGTATTTCATTTGGCCACATTCTCTGCTTGTTTTGATACCTCAAGATCCATAATTTCTTGATGAGGAGTCAGGGTGAAATACCACAGGACACACACAAAAAAAACTCACACATAGCTGCACTTCTTTTCTGAGTGTCCAGTGTTTTTTTCGTGCTGATGACTAATCATATACGTACAAGTACAACTAATAAACCTCGCTCTCTGCACGGTGACTTCGCTTCTGTGCCCAAGCAAGCCAATCGGATGTATAGTGCCGTACACTCATTGGGTGAACATGCGAGAGCGTGGCCGCACTCCAGGAAGCACCACAGCCGCCAGCGCAACCACGCATTGAAGCAAACTTGCGCAGGTGCGGCAGTGTTTGCAGGTATAGCTTTCCGCCGTCTGCTACAATGCTCGTGTTCTTGGGCGTGCCGAGCTTGCACTCCATGAAACACACTTTGTTTACAGGGTCACGTATTTTCTACAGCCAATATACCATTTAGTTTTAATGTTGCAACTTGGAGACTGCCAGATTACGAACGCTAGTGAAGTGCACGTCATAATGAGATTATTTCAGAACACACACTTTGTTATCTTTAAAAAGTAAGTAGTAAAGTATTACTTTCGAGTAAGAAGTGGTCACGCATTCTTTATTTCTTGAAAATAATTAAGAAAGTGAGGTCACTGCACACATTTTCCTGTCGGCTATATAGATCTTATTCAGTATGGGAATTACATGTGCATTATCGGAAAGCGCGTGTTGAGGGGCGTTTCTTGGTCATAGTTTTGCGGTATTGAACTCAAGCGTGTGACTGCGCGAAGGCTATACTGCAATGTTTGGCATGGTTACTGAATCCAATCTATTCAAGGCTTACGTGAGATAGGATGGCCAAGGAAACGGAAATGCTCATCAGACCTACTACAGGTTTGTCCAATAGAAAAGGAGATCTGACAGAAGACAAATCACTCCCGATTTTCCATGCCTTTTTTATGAACCAAATTATCTACGTAGTGGACATGCACAAGTGGCACAACTTCGAGAAAAAGTAGCTGAACACCATTATGTGCAAAAGCTTCAAAATGGTGCTCGGTATTCCCATAACAGCTAGCACAAAGCGCCTCTGTCGATTTGGCGCGCGCAATACAGTGGACGAAATCATCGAAGCACAGGAATCAGTCTAGCTGGCTTGATTATCCGGCTGTTTGGCAGGGAGAAGAATATTAGCCATTCTGGACCTAATTTTGGTGTTGCCAGAGAAAAGACGCCATCGAATTACCGAGAATCATAGAGAAAATGATCTTGTTGCACCGATCCTTCGAAATATTCATCCACAGCATAATGACGGAAGGCGTAAAGCAAGAGTGATCGTGATTCTTCAGAAGATGAAGGATGATCCCTCACCGGTCTGTTTCGTAAATGAGGCACAATATAGACCATCATCTCACTTTGCTGTGGTTGTAACAGATAAGAGATCAAATAACCTCGTCAAACTAATTTCTGAGACCATCTATTCTAAAGTGGAGCAGGTTGCTATATCTTTGGACATCTTGGATGACAAGAGGACGCGCATCTACTGAGATACTAATCCGGCAGTCAGGACGTTTGCCTCGAGCTTCATAGTGAAAAAAAGCACATGGCGTTTTTAGGAACAGGAACTATATACACACGATCATTGGGTTCCCGGCACACCTAGGTCAATATTTGGACACGCTCACCATCGTTATCGGCATCGCCCACTCCCAAGCAACTGTACATTATTCTGCGCACGGGGGGATAAGGTTTGTCCCAGAACAGGGTTCAAGTGTTTCGACTAGCTTTGTTCACTTTTAATGAATTCATAAAGCACTTTTAGTTGGAAGAAAGACTATCTCCTCCAAAATACAAAAAGCATACAATATCAATATCAACTTCGGGCAGTCCAGAGCACCTGCGATGGGCCGATTAGGCTAGGTCTACCTGTCCCCTCGTGAGAGCAGTCCACGTTGCTGCCTTAAAAGGTGCCGATTCTCCTGACTCATAAATAACGTTATTCGTATCATGCCGTGTACCCAATAAAGCATCCGGACTAACAGGTCTCACCAGGCCACGGCGGCTCCATTTCGCTTGGGGTGGAAAGAAATATGAGAAGAAAAATGACCGTACAGTTTCATTTGAAGTCCTTGCTTCAACTGCGAAAGAGCAATCTTCTCAACCGCACTAGGCTTTCTGTACAACTGCCCCGTGACAGAGAACAAAAATGTAGGGCCCTGGACTACCCGGTCTGCATCACACTCTGCTCTGAGGGCATTGTTGGAGTTCCTTCAAGCAATCAGACGTTCGCTGAGACAGACTGTGATTGTTTGTGGATGAAGTTGCTTCCTATAGTGCTCGAAAAGTGCTTCAGTCACTGCATTTTTTCTCTACTGTCACCAACTCTTCTTCTCCTTCATTATTTTGTGCCCATTTGCTTCTTCCCAAGCACAGGGTGGCAAACTGGAGTCTTCTTTTGGTTAACCTCCCTGTCTTTCCTTCATCTTTCTTTTTCTCTTTTTTGTATCACTTAAGCTGAAACTGCCGCGAGTTACACGTTTCGAGAAGCAATTTTTTTTCAGCTGGGTGCACAGTTCAGCACGATCGAGTCACTTGGCATAAATTTATGCATGTCGCATTTCACGCACATGCTTCGAGAAAGTAAAGCAACCGTCGCGAAAATTTAGAATTTCTAAAACACCCAGGCTGTCGACCCCACACACAATGACAGTGATAACAGCGTTTGTATGCTCTCTCGTGAACAGCTGTGGCACTGGCTACGACCGCTGGCTTCATATAAAACAAAGGTGGTAGTTTCGTAAATATAGGAAGCATTGAATGACTCTGGATTTACCTAACGGATGTCATGAAGCTGTAGTATGAAAACCACGAGCTTATCTCCCTACTTGAATGATTTTCAAAACGGCAATAGCAGCAGTTTTGTGATGCCCTGGCATGCGCGATATTTGAGAAAATGAATGTCTGCAAAGGCGATCCCAACAAACAGATAAAATATTCACCCGCCAACTCAAGCTGACGATTACGTCGGTAAGTTATTCAGAATGAGAAATGCTCTTCCAATTCAGAGCGCAATTCTTGAACACTGACACTCACACGCTATTCTACACTCCACTGCGCCTCACTATCATGCCATCTTGGTATGTTTCGCAATGGTTTGTTCCTTGACGTCGTCCGCCCTCACCTTCGGGCCCAACTGCAAGCCCTCGCCTTTCCCAGCTCACGCCACTCTGCCCTTCCTACTGGGGCTCACCTCACCCCATTACAAGATCACGTGATCAGTGCTAACACCTTGGATGTGAAATGCTATACCAACCCCCGTATTTTAGATTGTCCATTCAATCCACGCTTCCCCTCGACTTGAAAAAGTAGATGGGAGCACCGTCTCAGGGCAGAGCAAGGTACCGCATATCATAGATAATCTGCAGCTATTCTCGAGAAGCACAGCGTCATTTTCTGTCGAGCTGTGACGCAGTGCTCAAGGCTGTCAAGTGAAGGACGAAATTCGAGTCGAGGAACATTTGTGAAGAGCTTTGTTGGTTGATTAGCTTCCCAGTTCCACCTCAAGGGCGAAGTGATGAATGTGATAGCGACAAAATTTAAGGTCATATGCTGAAATACAAGCAGCTAGACTCGTGGGGCACGCTGCTCAAAGACAAAGAAGCGCCCATGGTAAGTTCAGTAAGGACACGG